TGCAGAAGCCCGAAACAACTTCGAACAACGCGGCACGGATGGAGAAACAAAATAACAGCATACACGTAAACGTTCGGACGTCCGCCCAGATTTCCTGGATCGGCGCTGGGCTCCCCCTTCCTGGCGCGCGGAGCGCGCCTGTGGCGGCGCCAGGGGCGCCGCCAAGTGGGTCCAGTGCAGGCCAACAACAAACACGTGGAGCTCCGAAAGTTCTGGAGTGCTATGTGGAACCTGCTCTAGAACAGGGACGTACTGCAGACGGATATCTAGCCTTTCTGCGACCTTGCACTGCGCCGAGCGCAACGGCTGCGTTGTCGATAGGCTGCTCCGCCCTGAATGTGCCCATACACGTAACGACGCCCAGCGCGTCCGTAGACGCTCGTGGCTAGCAGGTGAGAGCGGTACTTGGCATAGGCACCAGATGCTGGTCTTCTGGAAGCAAGCAGACTTTGGCCCTCCAGCGGACGTTCTGCTCGTGCCGTGGCTTCTCCCTCGGGAAGAGCGGGGCGGATCGGCACGGCGTCCGCGAGCGGCACGGCGGGCACGCGGAGCTGGTCGAGCCCGAGGTGGCTTCGAGAGGGGGGCCGGGACTCCAAACGGGGGCGCCTGCCGGGGCGCGTCGGCTGCCGAGGGGCGGAGAGGGGGAGAGGGGGGGGGAGGAAGGGGGGGAGGAGCGGGAAGCAGGGAGAAGGAGGGAGGAGAGGGAGGGGAGGAGTGCAGGTGGGGGAAGGGGGAAGGGGGAAGGGGAACAGGGGGAGGAGGCAAGCTGCGTGTGCTCGCGCCTCGTCTGACATCCTATCCCTCCCTCTCGCCCCTTCCCATGGCGCTGATTGTTCTCTCTATTCGCAGACGCCGTGTCATAGCCGACCAGCGCCTCACTCAGAAAGGCCACCTCGTGTTATGCGCAGGCGGAAGAAAGGGAGCTGCGTGCACAGGAGGAGGAGGAGGAGGAGAAGGTGGCGGGCGAACAGGAGGATGAGCCGGAGAAAAAGGATGAGGACGAACAGCAGCAGCAGGAACCAAAGCAGAGGGATCGGGAGGGAAGGCCAGGGCCAGGGGAAGGCGGAGGAGAGGCATGTTGAGGGGGGCGGCAACGAGGCAGAAAGACTCGGATTCAGAACAGTGGCCCGCGCTGGGGCGAGATGAACAGCAGCAGCAGCAGCAGCAGCAGCAGCAGCAGCAGCAGCAGCAGAAGCAGGAACTGCTGGCGCGGAAGGAGCGGGAGGAGCACGAGGACCAGGGGAAGGCGGATGATGGGAGAGGAGGGGGGGGACCGCAGCGAAGCAGGACTCGGATCCAGACAAGGGGCCCGCACGGGGGCGAGAGCGCCATTCCGAGCGATGGAAACAGCGCGCCGATCCGAGAATGAGGCCCCCGTTGCAGCGGGAACAACTTTCTGAAACACCGAAAACAGTTTGTTTGCAAAACACGTTAGACACAACACTTGATTGAAATACGGCGTGTGTAAAAAAACACACGCGGAAGGGGCTGGAGACCTTCCGGACGACTTCAGGTGAGCAGGAGAGTAGTACTCCCATTGTTTAATTCTCGCCATCACTCGGACGTCCATTCCTCGTGCATGTTTCGGCTTCGTGCGTGTATTTGTTCGCAAGATGGCCCCAAACGCTCCGCGACAGTTCTTGCCAGGCAGCAGTGCACACGCCCGAGCGACGCCAAGCAAGTGTGGAGAGACGCAGGGGAGAGAAGATGGGGGAAGGGGGGGGGGGGGGGGAAACCCGGGGCGAGGAGGGGAGGGAGGGGAGGGGAGAGAGAGGGGCAGGAGCAGCGGCAGGGGCGGGGAGGGGAGGGGAGGGAGGCAGGGGGAGGGGAGGGGAGGGGAGGGGAGGGGGGGAGGAGGAGGAGGGGGAGGACAAGCTAGGTGCGCTCGCGTCATATCTGACGTCCTACCCCTCCCTCCCATCCCTTACCATGGCGCTGATTTTCTCTATCCGCGGACGCGTGTCGTAGCGGACCTGTGGCTCCGCGCGCGCGTGCGTAGTGGGTGGTGGTGCACGTGCGTGCGTGCGTGCGTGTGTGCGTGGTTGTCGTGGTGGTGGTGGTGGTGGTGGTGGTGGTGGGTGGTGGTGGTGGTGGGTGGTGGTGGTGGTGGTGGTGGTGGTGGTGGTGGTGGTGGTGGTGGTGGTGGGGGGTGGTGGTGGTGGTGGTGGTGGTGGTGGTGTGGTGGTGGTGGTGTTGTGGTGGTGGTGGTGGTGGTGGTGCTGGTGGTGGTGGTGGTGGTTGCTGGTGTTGGTGTTGGTACTGTGCTGGTCCTGGTGGTTTGGTTGTGGTGGTGTGGTGGTGGTGCTGGTGGTGGTGGTGTGTGCTGGTGGTGTGGTGTTGGTACTGGTGCTGTGGGGTGGTGTTGTGGTGTGGTGGTGGTGGTGGTGGTGGTGGTAGGTGGTGGTGGTGGTGGTGGTGGTGGTGGTGGTTGGTGGTGGGTGGTGGTGGCTGGTGGTGGTGGGTGCTGGTGGTGGTGGTGCTGGTGGTGGTGCGGTGCGGCGCGGTGGTGGCGGGCGGATGGGCGCGCGAGAAAGAGGCCCGCGCTGGGGCGAGAACGCCATCCTGAACGACGGAGGCCAAGCACCGATCCGAAAATGAGGCCCACGCTGCAGCGGGAGCACGATTCGGAACGATTCGGGAGCAGAAATGAGGCCGGCGCCTCAACGAGAGCAGCATTTTGGGAAAAAATGACGCCGGCGCCTCAGCGAGAGTCGTTTCTGGGATTTTCCGGGCATCCTGTGTGTAAAAAACAATACGCGGAGTGTGCGCGGCTATCACCCGGACGCCATCAGGGGAAGGATTCGGGAGCAGAAATGAGGCCGGCGCCTCAACGAGAGCAGCATTTTGGGGAAAAAATGACGCCGGCGCGAGAGCAGCATTTTGGGAAAAAATGACGCCGGCGCCTCAGCGAGAGTCGTTTCCCGGGATTTTCCGGGCATCCTGTGTGTAAAAAAAGAGTACGCGGAGGGCGCGCGGCTATCACCCGGACGCCATCAGGGAAAAAGGGAGAGTATATTCATATTGAGTAATTGTGGAGGGGAGGGGAGGAGGGGAGGGAGGGGAGGAGGGGAGGGAGGCAGGAGCAGCGGCAACGGAGCGGAAGGGGGGGGGGGGCCCGCGGACGATCTCCCGGGGGCTCGCTCGGGGCAGGCTCCGAGGGGGAACCCGGCCGTGGCGGCGAGAAGCTCACCGCAGGCCAGGACAGGCACGCCACGACCTCGATCCTCGATTCTCGGCGCGTCCTCTCAGGATCAGGATCAGGATCAGCATCAGGAGGAGGGTTCGTCGTTCTCTCAGAGGGAGCATCCTTGTAGGAGGAGGAGGAGGAGGAGGAGGAGGAGGAGGAGGAGGAGGAGGAGGAGGAGCAGGAGCAGGAGGAGGAGCAGGAGCAGGAGGAGGAGGAGGAGGAGGAGGAGGAGGAGGAGGAGGGGACGGGGGGAAGGGGGGAGTAACTAGTGGCAAGAAGGAGGGGGTGATGCTGGCGAGGATGAGGGAGGGGGGTGGTGAGATGAGACTGGTCCTGAAGCGAGTTGTGTTTCAAAAGAAGAAGATATCCCCACTGCGCTCGAGGGACGGGGCAATGGGGCAGACCACCATGAGCGGGCCGCCACGTCCAGCTCAGCGTTTACTGCTGCATGGGTTGCTCTTGCGCTGTCGGCATTGCTGGGCTCCTCTCTGGCGTCGGCTGCGCGGGTGCAGCGTTGCCGCCTCTGCCGCCGCCGACCTAAGCCCTCGCAGTAGGGTCGTGAAGTCTGTGGCCGCCTTGAGGGGGCAGGGAATGCCGCGGCCGTAGACGCGACAGACCTTGCGGCCGCTGCTCCTCCTCCTCCTCCGCCGCGCAAAGCGCCGAATTGGCTGCCCTGTGCGCCCCGCAGCTCCGTCGACCGCCTCGTCGCCTCGTCCTGCTCTCCCCCGGTGTCGGCGCGCGCCTCCGCGAGCACAGCAGTGGCCGTGTGCCGGCCTCCGCCTGGCTCGCAGCAGCCGTCGCCGCGATCTCCGCGCGGAGGGCGCAGGTCCGGTCCAGGACGCTGGCCTCGGCCTCGCCGCGCAGCCGCCGCCGCGCCAGCCGCGCCAGCCGCCGCAGCCGCCCCAGCCGGGGGCGAGCGGGTCCGTGCCAGGGCCTTGCCCTGCTCGCTGCCCCCCCGCCTCCTCTGGCCTGGCCGACCACAGGCTGAAGAAGAGGTGCTGCCCGCTCACCGCCACCCCGAGCGCCACATCAGGTCGACGCACTCGGACTTCACCATCTCCGTGGGGCGGAGCGGCCGCGGGCCCAGCACGTACGCCAGCATCAGCAGGCCCTCCACCTGAGCCGCCAGCGAGCGTCTCCCGCAGCGCCTTGCCGAGGAAGGTGCGCTGCTGGCTTCGATGGCCCTCGATCTCGTCGAAGGCCTGCGGGAGCTGGAGGGCCACTCGGCCCCGCGCCCGCGTGTGCTGCGCGCGGCGCTGGGCGGTCGTCCACGTCGGACGGCAGGCAGGCCTCTGCGGGGGCTCCGGATCCATCACGGCCCTGAGGGGTGGTACGAGGAGCGGCGGCGCGGCGAGAGAGAAGAGACCAGCGCGTTCCATTACCCGCACTCGCAAAGTCACTACTCGCAAATGGTCTGGAACATCGAGGCAAGCATGTGTTTTTTGCTTCGGACGTTTGCGCAGAGGCACGTTGCGAGTAGTGATGAGATGAGATGAGATGAGATGAGATGAGCTGAGACGAGATGAGACGGCTCCCAGGGACGTCAAGGGAGGAAGGGACCAGCCCGACACAAGATTGGGGGGGTGCACCATCGAAGGGGATGCTTGCGACAGGCGCGCGAAAGAAGGGAGGGCGGCCAAGAGGGCGCGAGCGGCGCGTGAGCGCCGATGGCGCGGGCTCGGTAGCCCAAGATTCGGGCCGAGCTGGCAGCTGGAGGAGGAGGATGGGAAGGAGGAAGAGGAGGAAGAGGAGGAGCAGGAGGAGGGGGGGAAGGGGGTGGGGAGGAGGGGTGCCTGCCGGCCAGGCCACGGGCTCACATGACGGTGGCCGACTTCTTGCCAGACCGCTCGAGGTAGGCTGCCTCGCCAAGCTCCTCCAGGGAGGCGGCCTTGTCTTCCACCTCCCGGCGGGACTCCTCCTGAGAGTGGCGGAGGGGGATGAGGAAGGGCGGAGGATCAGGAGGAGGGGGAGGGATAGTGGTGATGATTGGGGGGAGGAGAGAAGAGGGAGGAAAGGGAAGCGGGGCGTAAGAAGGAGAAGGATGAGGAGGACGAGGAGGAATGGTGGAGGATCAGCAAGAGGAGCACTATATGATATAGCAGGAGGATGGAGGGGAGAGACGAGGAGGAGGAGGAGGAGGGCAAGGGCAAGGAGGAGGGCAGGATGGACAAGAGCAGGAGGCGCAACGAGAGGAGCAGAGGAAGAGGAGGAGCAGGAGGAGCTCGGGAACGAGGAGGGGGGGGGGGGGGGGGAAGGGGGATGGCCAGGGCCCCACCTGCGCCCTGGCCAGCCTGGCCAGCAGCGCGGCGTCGCCGCCGCACCCGGCGAGCATGCGGACCGCGAGGAGGCCCGCGTTCCTGGCCCGCGGGGGAGCCCTCCCCGCTGCTCCGCCTTCCTCCTCCTCTCTCGGGATCCTCCTGGGCCACCTCGGGAGCCTCCCCATCCCAGCTTGGGATCCCCAAAAACCCCAAGGATTGCAAAAAAACCCTGGATTGCAAAAAAAAAAAAAAAACATTTTTTTGCTTTTTTTTGCAATCCTTGGTTTTTTTTTTTGCAATCCTTTGCAATCCTTTGCAATCTCTCCTCCTCTCTGGGGATCCTCTTGGGATCCGCCTCCTGCTCCTGTTGGCCCCGCGGCCGCCTCGGCAGGCGGCCTCTCCCCGGCGTTGGGCGCGGGCCGCGCCGTGCGGGCAGGGGCGCGGGCCGCGGGGGGCGGGGGGGGGCCCCAGGAAGGGGCCCGTTGGAAGCGTCTTAGAGCGGCCCTTTGGAAGGGGCCCTTTGGCAGGGAAGCGTCTTAGAGCGGAACCTGGGGGGGCCCCAGGAAGGAGGCCCCAGGAAGGGGCCCTTTGGAAGGGGCCCTTTGGACGCGGTCTTGGAACCTGTCCTGGGCCATCTTGTGTTGCATCCTCGGGGGACCTCGTCTGTCCCGTCGCTGTCCTATCCGCGTCGAATCCGCGTCGAATACATGTCGGACTCGTCGGATCCGTGTTGGATCCGCGTCGAATTCATGCCAAGTCCGCGTCGAGTCCGCATCAAGCATGCGTCGGACACCATAAAAGACACCAATTTCGGGGACAGGTGAGGTCCCCCGAAGATGCAACGCAAGGCCACCTCGGGCGCCCTGGAGACCAAGTGAGCCTGTGCGCTGACATGGCACAACCACAAAAAAACGCTGAGACCATCATCGGTGGTCGTTGCGTCTTCGGGGCCCCGCGAAAAGGTCTTTTGAGGCCCCTCGGGCCCGTGATGGGAGCCTCTTGGCAGCCGTTTGGGGTGGTTTTGAACCGTCTTGGAAAAAAAATCGAACTGTAAACAAGAACCTTCTGGGGGCGTCTCGGCGCTTCTCTGCGCAATCCTCGGGTTTCCCGACGCCCTCGATGCACCGGTGCCCCCGTTGATACTTTGAACGGCCAGGGGGGAGAGGGCAGGAGGCCGCGGGCGGGGCCACTCCCACAGCGGGGGTTCGGTGTGTCAGCTGTTGGGCCCCAGTTTCTTCCCTGGTGAGATGTGTGCGTGCGTAAGGGGTCTGTCTGGTCCCTTCGAGGAAGTTGATGTGTATTTATATATATACACATAAGTATATCAATCCGCCGACCCTGTCGGCGTGCGTAAGGGGTCTGTCTGGTCCCGTCGACGGGGCGCCTTCTCTGTTTTTCCTTCCCCGTCGGGAGGGAGAGCATGCTCTCCCGTCGTCGGGGTAAGGAGTCCGGGGATTGAGGGAAATCGACCCACGTCGCAGTCACGTCAAAGGGAAACCCCTTCCCTTTGCCCCTTCCGCCGCAAAGGGGGGGTCCAGGGGGGAGGAGGGGGTGGGGAAAAATCAAGCTGCAAAAACAATCCAAGCTGCAAAAGCAATCCATTGCTCCATGCGCTGTCGAAATGTTCGACCTTATAATCCGTGCGGAGCCCTGGGTTGTTGCAAGGATCTCGGCATGCGCGCGCAACGCTGCGCGCGTGGACATCGATTCAGTCTGCATGGGTTTCGTGACTCCAGCAAGCTCCGAAGAGCGCTCGAATGATGTCGGCGCGCGCACTCGGGAGGCCCGCTTGGTCGCAGTGGGTCAACATGTTACCGAGCCGATGGCCCCCCTAAGGACTTGCAAGGGCGCGCGCAAACCTTTTTGAACAAACGCGGTGCAATGTCAATGTTGTGTCTTGGTTTCTCGATGCTTCGGGGTAGTTTATCCTGGAATTCTCGCGACTCTTCCGGTTGTTCAGAGATTCCGCCATGCGCACGCGACGCCGCGCGCGAGTTGAACTTGCGCCCCTTTCGCGACGGGATGGGGGGGCAAGGGGATTCTTGAAACAAGCGATTGTCGATGACTGAGTGCGCGTGCATAGAACTACTGGATGGGGATCATGCGTGCGTGGGGGGGGGGGGGCGACGAGGGGCTTGGCCGGGGTGATATTGGATTTCGCACTTGCAACGAACGAAAGGGCATAACGGCATCTACATTGCACGATCAAGGGGAGGGCGGGCGCGAAACCCATGGGGCGGGTGGGGGGTAGATCCTCTTTTGAAAGGATCGCCGATCCAATGCGCACCCCGGCAAAACAAGACAAGACAACTGCAAGCCAACACAGAGAAACGCAGGGCAATGCAAAGCAACGCAAGGCAACGCAAAACAACGTGCTCGGTGCAATCCAACGGCGGCGACGAGCTGCGGCGGCGGCGACGGCGCGGCGACGGCGACCGCGTGGCCGCCAGTCAGGCCCAAACGACCGGCGGCGACGAGGCGGCGACGAGGCGGCGACTGGGCGGCGACGGTGGCCGCGCAGCCGCCAGACCGACCGCCCAGCCCAGTGCCGTAGAAGAGAACTCACAGACCCCTGCGTGCAGATTCCGTTGGGGGGATGTGCTCGAAGATCTTCCACGTGATTCGATTCACCAAACACTGATTGCACGTCGGCGTCCTTGTCTCTCTTTTGCAAAAGCCCGGCCTGCGTTGCGGTCTGGCGGCGCCGCGGTCGCCTCGTCGCGCCTCGCGGCCGCCCGTCGTCTGGGGCCGCGCGGCGGTCCGGCGGCTCCGCGGTCGCCGTCGCCGCCCCGTCGCCGCCTTGTCGCCGCGCCGTCGCCCTGCGTTGTGTAGCATTGCTTCGCATTACCTTGCATCGCCTTGCATCCCTTTTGCATCGATTGCATTGCATCGCATTGCAACTGCACTGGATTGCATTCGCATTGCGTTGCAGTGCTTCGCGTTGCCTTGCGCCACGTTGATTCTCCTTTCTCGAAAAGATATTAACTCCACCCCTCACCCCCGATAAATCGACTCCCCGTCGGACACTGCAAACTACGTGCGATTCTGCCCCGTCGATCAGTCTGACGTTGAACTCGTACCATCTCAGGGAATATCCTTATCGAGTCTGTCCCTCATCCCTGCCGCATAATACTATGCGCGAGCACTCGCTTGAAAACAAATCATCAATGTTCAAAAGCGCCTTGCACAACGAATACAAGGTTCACCCTCACGCGTCGTCGCGCGGTCGCATGTCGAAAACCTTCAAAAACCTTACGTGCCGTAGGGATTTCAAGGCCGAGCTTTCTGAAAACATATGCGAACTAAAGTTGTTTCACTGTGCGTTTCGAACAAACCTGTGCGCTCTTGCGAGTTCTGACAACAACGATGCATGTTTCAATATTTTCGTCAAGTGAAGCCACGCGGGCCCCTCACGCGAATGTCGAAATCATTCAAACGCCCTTGCACGCTTGCTGGCGGGAGCACGATCAACGTCAAATAAAACCATGCGGGTCACTCGCTCGCGTCGGCCGAGGGCGCATGTCGAAATCGCTCCAAGACCTTTATCAGCGGCACGTAGACAGCATCATCATCATTACCATCACTATCATCACCATCATCACCATTACCATCATCAAGATCATCAAGATCATCAGCATCATCATCATCATCATGACTAACGCCATCATCATCAGAAACATGGTTGTCATCGGCGTGAACAGCATCGGCGCCGTCATCGGCCTTGACGTCGTCATCGTCACCACCACCATCATCGCTACTATCATATTTTCCGCCGTTGTCGACGTCACCATGGAACCGCGCCCGCCCGAGTCACCGACCCGCACAGAAAGAAGAACCCGCGCGCCGGTGCGACCTGTGAGACGCGCTGGGATGTCCCCATCGGTCAGCGCAACCGCGGCAGGGGACGGCTGCGCCAAACAAGCCGGCCGCTCTGCACAAGAGCTTGTGCGAGCTAGCGCGGCCGCAAAGATGCGCCAGCCACCGCCGAGCACTCGTCGCAATCGCCGCCGCTTGGGTTCGGCAAGCCAGGTTGTGGGTGGGAGGGTGGGGTGATTGCGCGAGCACTCGCTTCTTTGCTTATTGGTTGTCGCTGTCGCGCTGCTTCATATGGCCCCTTTACTTTCGTCTTCCCCCCTTTCCCCCGCCTGCCCCCTCACGGCTGCCCCCCGTGAGTGTCGCTGTCGACCCCCCATGGGTGGATCCAGCGTCTGCCTGTCGCGTGAGCCAGGCTGACCTCTTCAACCCTTTCTACGCCGCGCCGCCGCGCGCGCAACCGCGACGCAGCAAGTGTGGGAATGCGCGTATGCAAGTTGTACAGAGCTTGCATCTATACCAAAGCGCCGTAGCTTAGGCACTGCAGCGCGGGCGGGTCGTCCTGTGGCTCTCGCGGACAGGAGCAAGCAAGGGCGACCCCCAGAGGCACCACAAGGCCGCCCTCTGCGGGCGCCGCCGACTTTATCCAGAGCGGCATTGGTGGGTCGCGGTCGAGGCCGTCGGTGAGGCTCGGTGCCGGGCGCGCGCAGTGCGAGGGCAACGCGTAAATCCGCCCGCGGGCCGGGCCGTCGGCGAGTCCACGGGAAAAGACACGCCAGGTTTCTCCGACGGCGGTGCCAGACGGGCCGCCGCGGGCGCCGACTCTTGGCAGAGCAGCGCGGGTGGGTCGCGGGCCGTGTCGTCGAGGGCCCCTGGGCCGGATCCTGGGCTTGTCGCTGGGCGCGTTGCGGGCGGGAGCGGTGCAAGTCGCGGGTGGGTTGCGGGGCGGGGCGCGGGTGTGTCAGTGGTGGGTCACGGGTGGGTCGATCTGCATTCGTCTCTTGGCATCGTTCTTCCTTCATCCATCTACCTTCCTCTCTCTCTCTCTCTCTCTCTCTCTCCCTTTTTGTTGTTTCCCTCTCTCTCTCTCTCCTTTTCTTTATTTCTCTCCTTATGTACAACATATGTAGATACACACATACATATAACCTATATATATACACATAATTTTCTTTCAAACGAGAGCTCCACCCTCCATCTGAAGGACCTCGGAAATTGTGGCCGCCCGGAAGCCCCCTCTTGAAACATCCACCAAGCGAACTGCACCACTGCCGTGGGTTGAGCCTTGGACCCCGCGGCCCTCGTCGCTCAGCAGCGGGCCCGCCACCACCTGTGGGCAGGACAGGCTGGGAGACCGCGCAAGCACGCCCGAGTACGGATTGGGCCACCTCAGCTTCTGGACGTGAAAGTGGCGTCCTTCTCATGGACTCCCTCGCCGACTGCAGTGGTGGAGTTCGCCTCGTCGTTTTCAAGGGGGACATCAAGGATGCCACCCTTTTCGAGCCCCCATCAGACGGGGGCCATCTTTCGATGTGGCCAGCACACTCAGCACGCCTACGCACTCTCTTTATCTCTCTGTCTCTGTCTCCCTCTCTTTCTCTCTCGCTGTCTCTCGCTCCCTCTCTCTGTATGTGTGTGAAAATACAGATCTACACACCTATGCGTACAGACTTGAATCAAGACACCAATCAAGCGGTACGTATCCACATTTCCATATATTGTTCACGTCCCTATGTCAGTATATACATGACCCCATGACTATATGTTATATGAACACATGTATGAATAAACGAATATCTCTATACATAATTTATATATATATGTGTATGTGTATACTATACATATATATATAATGTGTATATACACATGTATGTGTACGAATGCACAGCCCTGCACTCCTCCTTCCTACCCCTCCTCTCCCCATCACCCCTGGAAACGGAAGGACGTGTGTGGCTTGCGGCCACGACCAGAGAGCTCCTGGCATTGCCAATGGCCACGGTGGCCACGGGCACGCCCTTCGGCATCTGCACGATGCTGTACAAGGAGTCGACGCCGGACAGCGCAGAGGTCTTCACCGGGACCTCGGCCCGCTTCTGACGGGCTTCACGAGAGGGGAAGCGGGGAAAAGGGGCGGCGGAGGGCTGCAAGGCGCTTGCAGGATGGCGGGCTGCTGCTTCTGAGTGCGGGGGCTCTCGCCTGAACGGGGAGCCGAACGGGCGCTCGTCTTTCGAGACGGCTTCTTTGAAGCCCCTTCAGACGCGATTCGTTGTTCAATGGTGCGTCAAGTAATGATGATTCCTGGAGGGTGTGACTCGATCACCACTTCAAGCCACTGCCTTCTCCTTCTCCTCCTCCTCCTCCTACTTCGGATAAGTATTCCCGTATTCCTCCTCTACCTCCTCACGCTGAGATTCTTCCTTCTGGGCGAGATCATGAAAATCCATCGGGCCCCCAAGCACGAACACACACGCACACACAGACGCGAAAAACACAAACAGCGTCAGGGACTCTGCAGGAACGTGTGTCTGTCTGGCTGAAGGGAAAGGGGGTCGCCTCTTCCAGAACCAATGTTTTTTATGCTTTCGTTCGTGTTTTCCCTGCGACTCCTGCTTGAGGACAGCTGGAATGCAGCTGGGCGAGCTCCCCCCTCGCCCCCTATCGAGGAGCAGCAACTATAGAAACATCAACTTTCGAAGGCCCGCGCGGATTCTTGAATCGACGCTGGAACCACTCCCTGGCCTGCAGGGCGCGCGAAGGGCGGCGCCGGTGGCGCCGCCAGGGCGGCCCAACGCCGAACCAAAAGGTCTGCGCGGGGGGGGGGGGGGTGGGGGGGCGGAAGGGGGCGAAAGCATGTTCCTGCGCAGCGCTTTTCTTCTCCGCCGCAGGGACCCCGATGACGGGCAGCGTGGTGAGCGCCGCCACCATCCCCGGCAGGTGGGCGGCGCCGCCGGCACCCGCGATGATGCAGCGGAGGCCGCGGCCTTGGGGACGGGCGGCGCCGCCGTGGGAGGCCGAAGATTTGAGGGCGTCCCTGGGGATGGTGGGAAGCAGCAGGGGAGAGGGGGGAGGATGAGGAGGAGGAGGAGGAGCAGGAGGAGGAGGAGGGGGAGGAGAAGGAGAAGGAAAAGGAAAAGGAGAAGGAGGAAGAGGAGGAGGAGGAGGAGGAGGAGGAGGAGGAGGAGGAGGAGGAGGAGGAGTCCACGCGCGCGCGGGCGCCAAAAAGAGCACCGCCGCACCCCCTCATCTCTCCTCCTCCCCCTTCCATCCGTCCTCCTTCCCTCCCTCCCTCCTGCTCCTCCTCCTCCCCCCATCCATCCCTCCTCCTCTCCTCCCTCCTCCTCCCCCTTCCCACTCCCTCCCTCCCTCCCTGCCTCCTCCTCCTTCCACTGCACACCTCCTCCTCCGCCTTGCCTTCGCCCTCCCCTTCCCCATCCATCCCTCCTGCTCCTCCTCCTCCTCCTTCTCCTCCTGCATCCTACCTCCTTCCTCCTCCTCCTCCTCCTCCTCCTCCCCTACCTACTCCCCGTCCCCCCCCCCACAGATGCGCACGTGCTGGGGGTTTTTTTTTTGATGACCTGTGCGGGGCCCCGTGGGGCAAGACCATATGGAGGTTCCACAGGGTGTGGTGCACGGCCCGCACTACTTCGGAGATCCCTTTTCCTCCTCCTCCTCCTCCTCCTCCTCCTCCTCCTCCTCCTTCTCCTCCCCCACCTCTTCCCTCCTCCTCCTCCGCCCTCTCCCTGTTCCGCTCTTTCGTGTGGTGCTCCAGGGGGAGGCTTCCGCGCACGCGGGTGCAGCCGCTCCGCTGACGGAGGCCCGGGCAGCGGCAACCCCCGTGGCCCGTTGCCGACCTCGCCACGCTCTCGACCCGTTGCTGCGGACGACGCCGGTGGTGCCGCTGTCGGAGGGCGTGGGGCCCCCGGAAGGGTGGCAGGTGTAGTTCCTGTCCCCCCTCTTCCCCCCATCCTCCGCCCCCTCCTCCTTGCCCCCGCTGCGTCCTCGTGCTGCGGGCGCGTGCAACTTCTGTTTGGTGCCCTGCCTTCCCCCAGGCCGCACGGCGTGCCCTTCGAGGTGGCCCAGCGCGAGCTGCTAGACGAGATGCACTGCTCCGGTTTTGCGGGCAAGGCGACTTCTGCCACCTACCCTGCCCTCCCTGAGGCTGCACGGCGTGCCCTTCGAGGTGACTCAGCCCGAGAGGCGAAAGAGGACGCACCGCTCCGGTCTCGCTTGCAGGTACGCCGCTGTTACGTGCCCTGGCCTCCTTGATGCGCACCGCGTGCCCGTCGAGGTGACCCAGTGCGAGCTGCTAGGGGAGATGCACCGCCCCGGTTTCACGGGCAGGTGCGACGCCTGCTAGATGCCCTGCCCACACGGATGCTGCACGGCGTGCCGTTCGCGATGGCCCAGCGCGAGCTGCTAGAGGTGATGCGCCGCTCCGGTTTCGCTTGCAAGTGCGCCTCGGCTGCGTGTCCTGCCCTCCCCGATTCCGCTGCACCGCGTGCCCTTCGAGGTGGTTCAGCGCGAGGTGCCTCGGAGATACGCTGCTCCGATGCTGCTATCAAGTGCGACTTCTACTGCCACCTACCTGGCCCTCCCTGAGGCTGCACGGCGTGCCCTTCGAGATGACCCAGCGAGAGCGGCCAGAGGAGGTGCACGGCTCCGAGCTCCCTGGCAAGTGCGGCTTGGCGTGCCCTTCGAGGTGGCCCAGCGCGAGCCGCTGGAGGATGTGCGCATGCGCGGTCGGTTGATCTGCTGACTCTCCGTGCCCGTCGCCTCCCGCCCAGGACCTGCGGACCGCCCCACCTGCCCTGCCCAGTCGGCCCGCCCCACCGCACGGCAACCGCCGAAGGTTGGGCGCGGGGGGGGCGGGGGGGGGGCATGCGCAAGGGGCCGATCTTGCCGCCGTCACCAGCCTGGGGTTTGCGAGCCGCCCCACTTGCCTGGCCCGCCCGGCCCGACCTGCTGCCTCGCAACCGCTGCAGGTTGGGGGCTGGGAGGGGGGCGGGGCGGGTCAGGCCGGGAGACGGTTCTGCCGCCTCTGCCCTCCTGGGGTGTGCGCGCTGTCCCACCGCCCCGCCGTCCCACATTCGCCGCAGGCTTGGGGCGGGAGGGGGGGCCAGTGAGTTAGGCTGTGGGTCTGCCTGGCCACCTCCACCCGCCTGGACCGCGGCGGGCCGCAAGGGGCAGCCCCTCGCGGCGCCCTTTCGGGGCGCCTCCCGCCGCCCCTGCTGCGTAGGCCCGGAGACCATGCGGGGTGGTCGAACCACAGGCTCCCGCCCTCCCTCCCTCCCTCCCTCCCTCCCTCCTCCTCCTTCCCCCTTCTCTTCCTCCTCCTGTTCCTTCTCCTTCTCCTTCTCCTCCTCCTCCTCCTATTCTTCCTCCTCCTTTTCTTCCTCCTTTTCTCCCTCCTTTTCTTCCTCCTGTTATCCTTTTCCTCCTTTACCTCCTCCTCCTCCTCCTCCTCATCCTTCCTCCTCCTCCTACTCTCCCCCTCTCCTCTCGTCCTAATCATCCCCGTCGTCCTCCCATGCTCCTCCCCCTAACCTCTTCCTGCTCTCCTCCTCTCCTCCTCTCCTACTGCTCCTGTCCTCCTCATCCTCCTCCTCACTCCTCCTTCCTCCTCCTCCTCCTCCTCCCTCCTACCTCCTCCTCCTCCTCCCCCTCCCCCTCCTCCTCCTCTTCCTCCTCCTCCTCCTCATCCTCCTCCGCCTCCTCCGCTCTCGCTCCCGGCCTCCTCCCCAGCGAGGGGCCTGCTGCCTCCCTGGCGTACTGCACCATGCGGTCCGGAGTGCGGTGCGCAGAGACCACGGTGCACTCGTAGGGCACCCCGAACTCCCTGAGCGCGTCACAGGCCTCCGCGCCCGGGGGGTCGGAGGGAGGGGGGGGGAGGGGGGGCAGGGAATGAGGAGGGAGGGAGGGAGGGGGAGGGGGAGGGAGGGAGGGGGAGTGATGGGGGAGGTTGATTGAGGGGGTGGAGTTCAGGTCGAGGGGGGGGGAGGGGGGGATGGAGGGAGGGAGGGGGGAGGGGCAAGCTAGGTGCGCTCGCGTCATATCTGACATCCTACCCCTCCCTCCCATCCCTTACCATGGCGCAGATCCCCTCTCTACTCGCACAGTCGGATGTCGAGCAGGGCAATGATCCCGAAAGGGTACGCGATGCATTGTAGAGCACGGCATGGCATGGCGTAGAAGAGCACCGCAAAGCGTAGCATCAACCTAGCATTGCATTGCATGCCGTGGCATGGCACGGGAAATGACGCCAGCGCTGCAGCGGGAGCACGAGTCGGAACGAGCGGAAGCGCGGAAATGAGGCCAACGCTGCAGCGGGAGCACGATTCGGAACGAGCGGAAGCACGGAAATGAGGCCAGCGCTGCAGCGGGAGCACGATTCGGAACGAGCGGGGCCCGAAATTGAGGCCGGCGCCTCAGCGAAAGCAGCATTTTGGAAAAAAATGCAGGCGAAAACACAACTCCGGGGAATCCTGTGTAAAAAACAGTACGCGGGGGGGGGGGGGGCTAATACTTTCAAACCGTCATCAGGGGAAGAGGGGAGGTTAGTATTCATATTGATATATTTGTTTGGCGGAGGAGGGGGGGGGACGGGGGGGAGGGGGAGTGAGGGAGAGGGAGGGCGAGGGCGCAGGATCAGGAGCAAAGGCAGGAACAGCAGCAGCAGCAGCAGCAGCAGCAGCAGGAGGAGGAGGAGGAGGAGGAGGAGGAGGAGGAGGAGGAGTGCGGACGGTTTGCTCAATACGAACATGTTGGAGGACAGCTGAGGGCGGGGCGGAGGGGGACGAGGAGATGGAGGAGGACGCAAAGGCGGAAGAGGACGAGGAGACCGAGGAGGGCAAACAGGAGAGGAGGAGGAGGAGGAGGAGGAGGAGGAGGAGGCGGCGGCGGCGGCGGCGGCGGCGGTGGCGGCGGCGGCGGCGGCGAACATCAAATGGTCTTCGACCGATGGGCGGTGCGGGCGTCATTTGGAAGTTGGTGCCCCCAATCCTCCCAAACTCCCCGCCTCCTGCACCACTCCTGCCGCAGGTCCCTCTCCATCTTCCTATCTCTCCCGCATCCCTCTCTCCCTTTTCCTCCGCCTCCTGCTCCTCCTCTTCCTCCTCCTCCTCCTCCTCCATCTCCTCCTCCTTATCACCATCATCGTCATCACCATCACCATCACCGTCACCATCATCCTCGTCATCAGAATCAGCATCATCATCATCAGAATCCTCATCAACATCATCATCATCATCATCATCATCATCATCATCATCATCATCGTCGTCGTCGTCGTCATCATCATCATCATCATCAGCATCATCAACAGCATCCTCACAATCAGCATCATCATCCGCATCACCATCATCATCATCATCATCATCATCATCATCTTCAGCATCCCCACCACCACCACCACCATCATCATCATCATCATCATCATCATCATCATCATCATCATCATCATCATCATCATCATCATCATCATCATCATCATCATCATCATCATCATCATCATCATCATCATCATCATCATCATCATCATCATCATCAGCATCATCATCCTCCTCCTCATCATTATCACGACACATCTCATCCCTACCTCTTTTTCTCTCTCAGTCTCCCTCCTCCTCCTCGCCCCATCCCGTCTCCATCCGTCCTCCACAAACCACTCCACCTCGGTCCTCAACCTCTGCTCCTCCTCATCAGCATCCCAGATCACATCATCACATCACCAACATCACCATCACCATCACCAACATCATCAACATCAACATCATCACCATCATCATCATTACAACACATCATCGCCGTCATCATCATCATCATCATCATAACCATCATCCGCATCATCATCATCGCCATAACCAACATCATCTCATCATCATCAATACAGTATCATCATCATCATCATCATCATCATCATCATCATCATCATCATCATCATCATCATCATCAACATCATCTCATCATCATCATCATCATCATCATCATCATCATCATCATCATCATCATCATCATCATCATCATCATCATCATCATCATCGTGATCATCATCATCATGTTGATCATGACCATCACCATCACCATCGTCAGCATCATCAACATCATCACCATCACCATCACCAACCACGTCAACAAAACCATCAGCCTCAGCAGCAGCATCCGCATCATCATCAGCATCAGCATCCGCATCATCATCTTCATCAGCATCAGCGTCAGCATAATCAGCATCCGCATCACAATTATCACAATTATCATCCTCATCACCATCACCATCACAATCACCAGCATCATCGTCATGACCATCATCAGCATCACCATCGTCATCGTCATCTTGCTCATCATCAGCATCACCATGAATATCACCATCGCCACCATCATCATCAGCGACATCATTGTCATCACCATCACCACCATCATCATCATCATCATCATCATCATCATCATCATCATCATCATCATCATCTTCATCATCATCATCGCCGTCATCATCAGCATCATCATATGTTCCATCGTCATCATCATCAGCAGCATCAACATCATCATCAACATCATCCTCCGCATCCTCATCCACATCTTCCTCCTCCTCCTCCTCCTCATCATCAGCATCATCATCATCATCATCATCATCATCATCATCATCATCATCATCATCATCATCATCATCATCATTTCTCAGCATCATCCTCATCCGCATCGTCCTCATCCTCACCATCTTCATCCTCACCGTCCTCATCAGCCTTATCATCCTTATCCTCCTCATCATCCTCATCCTCATCCTCCTCATCCTCATCATCCTGATCATCCTGATAATCATCTTCATCATCATTACCACAACTCCCACCATCATCATCAACATTACCAGCAGCATCATCGTCCGCATCATCATCATCAGCAGCATCAGCATCATCATCCTTGTCATCCTCCTCCTCCTCATCCTCATCATCAGCAGCAGCATCGTCATCATTCCCCTGCCTACCCCTCCTCCTCCTCCTCCTCCTCCTCCTCCTCCTCCTCATCCTCATCATCATCATCATCATCATCATCATCATCATCATCATCATCATCCTCATCCTCATCCTCATCCTCATCCTCATCCTCACTATCATCATCATGCTCATGCTCATGCTTACCCTTATCCTCTTCCTCCTCCTCCTCCTCCTCCTCCTCCCCGTCCTCCCCCGCCTCCTCCTCATCCTCGTCATCATCATCAGCATCAGCATCATCATCAGCATCATCATCAGCAGCAGCATCGTCATCGTCCTCATCAGCATCATCATCAGCATCAGCAACAGCATCAGCATCATCATCAGCACCAGCATCATGATCATCATCCTCATCCTCCCTTCTCCTCCGCCCCCTCCTTCCCGACATTGCCTGGCATCCGAGGGGGGGGGAGTGTGGGGGGGAGGGAAGGCGATCGCACCAAATCTCAACAGGGCCTCGACCGAGGGAACGAAGGCACCCGGGGGGCTCGCCCCTCAAAGGGGGCACGAGGCGAACAGGGGGGGGGGGGCAGGCGTCGGGGGCCGCCCCCGCCTCCTTCATGCACGGGAGGTCGCTGTCCGACCCCATGATGACGCCCACATGCGGCGGCGCCTTGGGCATGCCTATCCTGACGGTGCGCTCGGCCCCCCCCAAAGCAAAGCAAAGGTCCGATCGGACGCCTCAAAGCGTCTCGCCCCACTCGTGAAGACGGCGAAACTGTAAAGCAGGCCTGCCATGGCGAGCAACGCTGGCGGCGAAGGAGAAAAATTGGATGCAGTATTGACAGGCGTGCTTGAGGGGAGGGGAGGAGGAGGGAAGAAGGAGGGGGAGGGTTGGGTGGGGGGGGGACCCAGGCGGTGCGCTCGGGCGTCCCCCCAGCACAGCGGGGGAGGGCGGGGTGGGTGGGGGGGGGAGGAGCGGCAAGGGAGCGGGAAGCAGGGGCAGGGGGGGAGAGGAGACAGCTTCTTCCGAACGGCCATCGCGAGAAAGGTAAGAAGGACTCGTGAGCCAGAAAAAGAGCACCACGCCGGACCAGCCCAGATTGAGCCCAGGAGGACGCCCGATGAAGTCTGAGTGCGCGGGATTGGGCGGGACTGTGCTGGACTAGGTCGATTTCGACCACGGATCTACCAGCGCCGATGCTGAATTAACCCTCCCAGGAGTTGCATCCTAAAGGGGGGAGAGGATATGAGGATTGGGCGAGTGAAGGGGGACGGGAAGCTGGGTGAGGTGGAAGAGTGTGGGGGGGAGGCGGACATGTGTCGTGGGGGGGCATAGAGGGGAAGTTGGGTGGAGAGGCCGAGGGCGTGGGACAGTGGACACGCCCCCTTCTGAGCCGTTGCCGAAGGCGGTCCCTGGCCCCAAGATGCTCCCAGCGTTTCGCACCAGTGCTTTTCCGAGCCCATCCAGCAACGATGCCCAGTCAAACAGGTCGGGCTCGCGCCGTTTTGGCTCTGTGGGCTCTTGCAGCCCCTGGGATCCCCTGGAATCCTGGAGAGCACCGTCCGCCAGGGGCCACGGCAACGGGAAGCGAGGAGAAGCAGAGGGGGGGGACGGGAAGACAGGGGAGAAGGGAGCCGAGCGTGGGCGGGCAGGAGTAGGAGGAGGAGGAGGAGGGGGAGGAGGAGGAGGAAGAGGAGGAGGAGGAGGGGAGGAGGAGCGAGGAGGAGGAGAGAGGAGAGGAGGAGCAGGAGGGAGAGGAGGAGAAGGAGGAGGAGTCGTGGGGAAATGAGTCGTAAGGAATTGGTTGGGAGAGCGTGGCGCGTGGGCGAACAGGATAGAGGAGGGAGGAAGAGAAGGAAGGAGGAAAAGGAGGACAGGGGACAACAACATGAAGACGAACATGAGGATGACGAGGAGGAGCAGTAGCGCTTCGACTATGGTAAGACTCAGCGTCAGGTTCAAACGTTCTACTGTGACTCATGTCAACGTCGCACCATTGCCAATCCGAACCGAACAGGTGGGTAGACATGACACGCAAACCATTTCAAGAGCTGCGCAAGATCCAGAAACATGCGACAATTCAGCGATTGAAAAAGATGCGGAGTTCCCAGCCGTGCGTTGCATCCGGCTTGATACACTGCCTGCACACGCTGTGGCTCAACAGGGCAGAACTCCACAAATCAAGCGCTTTCCATGCGCGCTGCCTCCAAACAGTGGCCTGCATAGCGCGTTCGTTCACAATTCAGATCTCGAGCCATGCCGTCCTAGCCTGGTGCAGCTGCCAGAGATCAGGCAACCCATTAGCAGATCGACAGCTCACGCCGCCGGGGAGGCCTGCATGCCAGACGGCATCGCCGTCCGACGCTGCGTTTTCGCCCCGTGGTCCTTATTTCTCGCTCTCTCTCTCTCTTTTTTGTTACTCGGTTATATGTTCTTTTTGTTTCTCTCTCTCTCTCTCTATCTCTCATTTTTGGGTCGCTGCTTACGTACTGGGGGGGGCGATACATGGGAGGGGCGAAGCAGCGTGCACCTCTCGTGCACCCCTGACCTGGCAGGGCTGCCCTGCCAATCCGCCTCGACCGCACGCCTGCGCAGAATCCTTTCCTCCCCCGAGGGCAGGGCAGGGGCGGAGGCGGCGGGCGCGGCGAGGCTCCCCACGACGGCCGGCCACGGGAGCGGGCAGGGAGGGCGGAGCGACTCGTTGCGCCGATGTTCCGGAACGTGGTCCATGTCTGAAGGGGCCCCAGGACACACAAATAGATACACACAAATAAAAAGGTTCCCCCTATTTTCCCATATTTTCTGGGCTTCTGTCTTCCCCCCCACTTCCCATATTTTCCCATATTTTCTGGGGAATCGAGGATTAATTGTGTCTGTGTGTTTCTTTTCCTCCTGAATGTTCCGGACCGTGGTCCATGTCGGCGCGTGCTGGAAACGGGAGGGCCACGTGGGCGGGCCAAGAAAGGCTCCACAGAGCGTCAGCGCCGCCGCCGCCGCCGCCGCCCTCGCCGTCTCCCTTCGGGGCCGGCGGCGCCGGCCGTAGAAAAACCGGCGCCTCCGTCGTCGTCGTCGTCGTCGTCGTCGTCGTCGTCGTCGTCGTCGTCGTCGTCGTCCTCGTCGTTCTAAGGGAGGGCGGAGGCGGCGGGCGGGGCGAGGCTCCCCACGAGGTCGGCCACGGGGGCGAGCCGCTCGACGAGCTCGCCGACGCTGGGGGCGCAGACCTCGGGGCTGTGGGGAGCGCCCACTCCGCCCCTCGCCCTCGTCGCCCTCGTCGTCGTCGTCGTCGTCGTCGTCGTCGTCGTCGTCCTCGTCCTCGTCGTCGTCGTCGTCGTCGGCTTCGTCGTCGTCGTCGTTCTCGTCCTCGTCGTCGTCCTCGTCGTCGTCGCCATCCTCGTCGTCGTCAGCGTAGTCGGCGTCGTCCTCGTCATCGTCGTCGTCGGCGTCGTCGTCGTCGTCGACGTCGTCGTCGTCGTCGTCCTCGTCGTCGTTGTCGCCATCCTCGTCGTCCTCGTCGTCGTCCTCGTCCTGGGGGAAAGGGGTCCTGGATCGGGTCCCCATGCTCGGGCTCCCAAGGGGCCCCATCCACGGGCCGGATGACCGTCAAACGACGGCTCGGGACTGGGAACCTGGTCCTGGGAAAGCCCCAGGGTTTCGAGTAGGAGATCGGCTACAGAATTGCATGCTCCCCCGAAATTGAGCTGTTCGTCGAACCTGCGAAAGGGTACGTAGAATGTTCGGATATCTACGGATGTTCTACGCACTTTCCCTATATTCGACGAACAGATGAAGCGTAGGGCAACATAAGTATGTAGTCGATCCGTCCTCGAAGGGTCTGGGGCCCGCTTCCATCAGGACCTTTCTCCTTCGTGGCCGAATCCTGCCTCTGTTCCCTCCCACCCCGCTTCCCATCGCACCCTTCCCCCCCTCGCCTGAGAAGGCTTTGGGCTGCGCGCAGACAGCTCAAACGATGTACAGTGGGGGCGCGCATCAAGAGACCATATGCTTTTCGTCAGGGTATCCTGGGCTTCTTCGCTCCCCGCGCTGTGCGGTGACTCCTCGCAGCCGTTGAAGGAGCTGTGCTGCGTTCGGGGTGCTCCAGGCTTCCCTTCGGGTGCTCCTCGCACACGGGCTCTCAGGGCCCGGTTGCTTGCGATGGTTCCTCGCGGCTGCGCCCGCACCGTCATTAGCCCCCGCGGGCCTCCGCGGGTCTCCCGAGCAACCAGACAGGGGCGGTCCCCAAACAGCATCCGATCTGACTTCGTTCCGGCCTCGGCCACGGGGCTCTCCCGACCCCCTGCCAGGGGCTAATTTCATGTCGGGCCTGTCCTCCTACAGGGGGGGGTTTGGACGAAAACTAAAAACTATAGCCGGAGTGCAGTATCCCCAAACAGGGTTTTTAGACCCACTGCGGTTTCCAAGGTCGATTGCGTGCACGTCCAGTGCGGGCTGGCATGGCATGTTGAAACATGCCTCTCCTCCTCCTCCTCCTCCTTCTCCTCCTCCTGCTTCTCCTTCTCTTCTCTTCTCTTCCTCCTCCTCCTCCACCTCCTCTTCATCCCGAACGGCATCTCGGAGCCCAGAGTTGCGAGGATGTCTCCAGCGTAACGGGCTGGACCACCTCGCGCGCGGCATTTCGGACCCCAGAGTTGCGACGATGTCTCGGGCGAAACGTGCTGCGAGGAAGTCTCAGGCGAAACGGGCCGGACAACCTCGAGCGCGGCGTCTCAGAGCTCCGAGTTGCGGGGGCCTCCTAGAGCCTCCTGGGACCTCCTGGTGACCTCCTGAGGCTTCCTCCTGGGCCTCCTGTGGCCTCCTGGACCCCGCCTGGGGCTTCCTGAAGCCTCCTGGGGCTCCCAGGGGGGATATCTAACATGTAGCCGTCGGGGCCCCCCAAAATGGGAAGGGGGGGGGCACAAGAGCAGGAAAAATCAACGAATCGACACCGGATGTGTATTAACTTGACACGTTCTGATAGGCGGCCTCCTGGGGCCTCCTGGGAGCCTCCTGGGAATCTCCTGGAGACCCCTGGGTCCTGTCCTGGGCGTCCTGCGGCCTCCGGAAGCTCCTGGGCCTCCTGGGGCTCTCAGGGTCCCCAGGGGGATATGTAACATGTGTTCTTCTGGCCCCCAGGCTGGACCACCTCTTGCGCAGCGTCCTGAATAGCTCAGAGTTGCGAGAAAGTCTTGTCGAAACGGCCGACCACCTCCGCAGGGCATCTCGAGCCCAAGATGCGAGGATGTCTCAGTCTCAGGCGTAACGACTGGCCCGCCCTTCGCCGCGGCATCTCGACCCCAGAGTTGCGACGATGTCTCGGGCGAAACGTGCTGCGAGGAAGTCTCAGGCGAAACGGGCCGGACCACCTCGAGCGCGGCGTCTCAGAGCTCCGAGTTGCGGGGGCCTCCTGGGGCCTCCTGGGACCTCCTGGTGACCTCCTGGGCTTCCTCCTGGCCCCTGTGGCCTCGCTGAACTCCACCAGGGGTTTCCTGAAGCCTCTTGGGGCTCCCAGGGGGGAGTATCTAACCTGTGGCCGCTTGGGCTCCTCAAAATGGAGGGGGAGGGGCCACAAGAGCAAGGAAAATCAACGAATCGACACCGGATGTGTATTAACTTGACACGTTTTGATAGGGGGCCTCCTGGGGCCTCCTGGGAGCCTCCTGGGAATCTCCTGGGGACCCCTGGGGCCTGTCCTGGGCGTCCTGCGGCCTCCTGAAGCTCTCTGGGGCCTCCTGGGGCTCCCAGGGTCCCAGGGAGGATATGTAACATGTGGTCTTCTGGGCCCCCAGGCTGGACCACCTCTTGCGCGGCATCTGGGAGCTCAGAGTTGGTAGAATGTCTTGTGCGTAACAGGCCGGACCACCTGGCGCACGGCATCTCAGAGCTCAGAGTTGCGAGGATGTCTCAGGCGAGACGGGCCGGACCACCTCGCGCAGGGCTTCTCAGAGCTCAGAAGTTTGAGGATGTCTCAGGCGGGCTCCCAGGGTCCCAGGGAGGATATGTAACATGTGGTTTTCTGGGCCCCCAGGCTGGACCACCTCTTGCGCGGCATCTGGAAGCTCAGAGTTGCGAGAATGTCTTGTGCGAAACAAGCCAGACCACCTTGCGCACGGCATCTCAGAGCCCAGAGATGCGAGGATTTCTCAGGCGAGACGGGCCGGACCACCTCGCGCAGAGCATCTCAGAGCTCAGAAATTCGAGGATGTCTCAGGCGAAACGGGCCGGACCACCTGTCGCGCGGCATCTCCGAGGTCAGAGTTGCAAGGATGTCTCAGGCGAAACGGGCCGGACCACCTCGCGCAAGGCATCTCAGAGCTCAGAGTTTCGAGGATGTCTCAGGCGAAACGGCCCGGACCACCTCTCGCACCGCACCTCGGGGCTCAGAGTTTCGAGGATGTCTCAAGCGAAACGGCCCGGACCACCTCTCGCGCGGCGTCCTGGAGCGTAACTTTTCGAGGATGTCTCAGGCGAAACGGCCAATCCCGGCCAACTCAGAAACGAGAGTTGTGAGGATATCTCAAGCGAAACGGCCCGGACCATCAAATTGTTGTGAGGATGTCTCTGCTCCGACTTCCCTCGGCCGGAATTAGCTTCTATCACAACAGCACCCCGTTCAGCAAGCTGTTTGGGGAAATACTCAAAGCATACTCCACAATGGTCAAAAATATTCAAAAAATAGCCCCCAGATGATTTTTTGACTATTTTCGAATAGTCCCCCTGTAGAGGGACAGACCCGAAAGAAGGCTAATTTTTCGCCCTGGATCAATATTTGACTGTCCTGGGGCCCCGAGAGCGGCCCCCAGAGGCCGAAATGAATCAAACGCGCAGCGATTGCCGACAACAGATCGTCGGGGATCGATACCCCAGCGCCCCAGCACTGGGGCGCTCCACGCCCCAGTAGGCGCCACCGGAGGCTGGCTGCCCGTGCGTCGTGTGCAACCCAAGGGCCTTCCCACATCACCTCAGACCTGTCCCCACAGAGATCGGCCAGTCCCTGAGGGCTGCCGTGGTGGCCAGCCCCCACCCAAGAAGAAGAAGAAGAAGAAGAAAAATAAGGGCGCGAAGGGGGCCGAAATGCAGGGATGCGAGACGGGGGGGGTTATCCATAACCCATGACCATCATTCTGACCACCACCCCAAACCTCCAGCCCGAATGTATCCATAGGCACCGCCTGTCGACGTCCCCAGAAATCGATCCCCCATGGGGTGGTTATGGATAAATCCCCGCCTCGGACGGGGGAAACGAGGAGGAAGTCAGGTCTGGTGAGAACCGCGAGCATGCCTCACTCCTCCTTCTGCCCCCCCTCCTCCTCCCCCTCTTCTTCCTCCTCCTCGCTCGCTCGCTCGCTCGATAGGACTCGTGCAATGGAAGGAGCAGCAGCAACAGCAGCAGCAGCAGCAGCAGCAGCCAGGGCGTCAATGGGGCCAGCCGCCTGGAGGATCACCGCCGACCACCGCCGCCCTCCTCCTCCCCCTCCTGCTCCTCCTCCTCCTCCTCCTCCTCCTCCTCCTCCTCCACCTCCCACCTCCTCCTCCCCCTCCTCCTCCTCCTCATCCTCCTCCACCTCAAACCCTCCCCTCCTCCTCCTCCTCCCTCTCTCTCCTCCTCCTCCTCCTCCTACCCTCTCCTCCCTCCTCCTCCCACTCCCTCCTCCTCCTCCTATCCTTGGCATTCCGCGGTGCATCTGCTCCGCGCCGCCGGAAAACCCTCACACCACCCCCCCAGCCCCGTTCCGCTCAAGATCGATCCCCGGGCCCCTCCTGGGGCCCACCCCTGGCCGTCCTGTCGTCCTTGACCTCCTCCTTCCACCTCCTCCTCCTCCTCTACCTCCTCCTCCTCCTCCTACCTCCCCCTCCTCCTCCCCCTCCACCACCCCCTCCTCCTTCCTCCTCCCACCTCCTCCTCTTCTCTCCTCTCCCCTCCTCCTCCTCCTCCACCTCCTCCTCCTGCCTCCTCCTCTTCCTCCTCCTCCCTCCTCCTCCTCCTCCTCCTCCTCCTCCCCTCCTCCTCCTCCTCCTCCTCCTCCTCCTCCTCCTCCCCCTCTTCCTCCCTGGCCGTCCTGTCGTCCCGGACCCATCGATGCTCGACGGCCCCTCCCCCCGTGGCCCGGGGCGGGCCACCGGAGGACGGAACCTGCGACAGACCTCGGCCCTCGGCCTCCGAAGCTCGACCCGCCCTCCCCAGAGGCGCCCAGGGAGGCACAAACAAATATACAAAGGCTCCACGAGTCTCCATCGTTTTCAACATGTTCTGGATGTTCGTCTTCCCTGCAAATACTCCAGATGTCGTAATAAAAGGGAGGGGGTCTGGACCCTCCAAGACAAGCCATTTCAGACCCCCCCCCGTGGGAGAACCCTCCAAAACATCGTCCCCAGACCCCCCCAGGCCCTCCAAGATAGCCTGGAAGAGACCCCCCCCGAAATGAGACCCCCCTCCCTTTATTACGAAATCTGGAGTATGTTCACATATGTTCAAAGCATCTTGATTCATTTGTGTCTGTGCCTAATTTTGTCCATCCTGGCTCCTCCTCCCCCCCTTCATCTCCACCCCTTTCCTCTGCCCGCGAGGGTGGCCGTCACGTGCGCCATCTTACGGCCCCTGGATGCAGACGCCTTGCCGTACCAGTGGCCCCCGGCCCCCTTCACGCTGCACAGGCGCGCGAACCTCCCCGCGGCAGGGGGGGAGGGAGGAGGAGGAGGAGGAGGAGGAGGAGGAGGAGGAGGAGGAGGAGGAATTGGCGAATGAGGAGGAGGAGGAGGAGGAGGAGGAGGAGGAGGAGGAGGAGGAGGAGGAGGAGGAGGAGGAGGAGGAGAGGAGAGGGAGGAGAAATGAGGAACGACTAGAATCGGATGAGCCTGGTCTACGCTAGGGGCCAATCGTGAGCGGGGCCAGCCTGCTCACAAGATGTGAGGGCAATGGGTAAGATGGGCGCGTTTCATAAGGACGAGCAGCGTAAGCGAGGACGCCTGAGCCTGAACTGGGAGAAGAAATTCTCTCATTCGCTGCATCCCACCTGTCCTATTCCACCTGGCCGGTCCCCCTCCCCCCGCTCCTCTCCCGTCATGATGACGAATTCGCAGTGGCGCGGCCGATGCTCTTTGTCCTTCGCCCACTACAACGGTCGAACAATGGTGTGTTGACGTGGCGCACTGGACATGATTACGGGTAACTCTAAACCGGCCGATCATGGAGTAGTTCGTCGTCTGGCAGAGAGGGAGGGGGCTGAGGGCTGGTAGAGGGAGGGAGGGGGGGAGGGGAAAAGGGGGTGAGGGCAAGCCAGGCGCGCTCGCGCCATCCGAAGTAGCCCGCCCTCCCAGCCCTTCCCATTGCGCGGATTGCTCTCTATCCGCGGACGCGTGTCATAGCCGACCTGAAGCTCTAACAGAAATACTCAATCTTGTTATGCGCAATCGGAAAAAAGGAACTGCGCAGATAGGACGAGGAGGAAGAGGAGGAGGGGGAGGGAAAGGAGATGGAGGAGGAGGTGGCCGGTGAGCAGGAGGATGAACAGCAGGACAAGGAGGAGGAGGTGGAGGAGGAGGAGGAAGAGGAGGAAGAAGGAGGACGAGGACGAACAGAAGCAGCAGGAACTGGAGCGGATGGAACGGGAGAAACAATAGGACCAGGGGAAGGCGGAGGACGGGAAATGAGGGGTGTGACAACGATGAAAAAGGTGTCAGATCCAGAAAAGTGGCCCGCGCTGGGACGAGAGCGCCATTCTGAACGACTGGACCAAAGCGCCGACCCGAAAATGAGGCCAACTCTGCAGCAGGAGTACCATGTTGAAGCACCTGCAACAATCGGAGTGACAGAACAGAAGAAAAATCAACTGCGGTAAAAGCCTGTGTGAAAGAGCAATATGCGGAGAGGCCCAGAGATCTTCCGGGCAGAGTCAGGGGAGAGAGGAGAGTAGAATTCATGATGTGTTTTGTGGAGAGGGAGGGAGGGGGGAGGAGCAGAGGGAGGGAGAAAGAGAGGGAGGGAGGGAGGGAGAGGGAGAGAGGAGGAGGGGTCAAGCTAGGCGCGTTCGCGTCATATCTGACATCTTACCCCTCCTACCCATCCCTTCCCATTGCGCTGAGCTGATGTTTGCTCTATCCGCGGACGCGTGCCATAGCGGACCCGAGACTTCCAAAAAGACAGCAACAGCACTCCAACGTGTTTTTCGCAATCGAAAAAGGGAGGCCGCGTACATAGGAGGAAAGGAAGAGGAGGAGGAGGAGGAGGAGGAGGAGGAGGAGGAGGAGGAGGAGGAGGAGGAGGAGGAGGAGGAGGAGGAGGAGGAGGAGGAGGGCCACCACAAGGGGAGCGATGCGAAACATCGCGGCGGGATACTGCGACGGAATACCCTCTCAAGCTGTCTGCATGCGAACGATCTCAAGGCTGGTGTTGACTACCCACCAGACCACCCCAACCCAACCCGAAGACCCGAAGTTCGGGTTGGGGGAGTATCGGGCTTCATAATCATGTGCTTCTTCAACTTTCCCCGACCCCACCCCCACTGGAACTGGAGGGAAACTCGGGGCCTTGGGGTTGGGTTGGGGTGGTCTGGTGGGTGCTGGCGCAAAGATCACGTGCTGACCCGCCTAATTAACTTCACGCCCCGCGCCCAGCGATGCGCGACGCGCGGCCATCTCCACGCCCCCTCGCCGCCGCCCTGGAGAGCAGCGCCTCCCCAAACGCTCTCCGAACCCGCGCCGCGAGGCGCGAGAAGCGCGGTCCTCTGCGCGCCCCCTCGGGCGACCGGGGCTGCTCGGGAGCGGCCGGGGGGATCTGAGCTGGCTGGGCTCGGAGGAAGTCGGTCGGGGAGGGAGGGGGGAGGGGAAATGCGGGGGGGGGGGGGGAGGGGGGGGAGGGGGGGGGGGGGGGGGGGGGAAATGGGGGGGGGGAAGGGGGGAGGGAGGGGGGTGGGGGGGGGAGGGAGGGGGGGGGGGGTGGGGGGGGGGGGGAAGAATGCGGCCAAATACGCTCAACGTCGGTCCCTGGACCCCTGGTCCACCCGCGAGGACGGCCCTCGGAGGCCGAAGCAGGAGAGGCCGAGCGCCTGCTCGAATCCGGGGGCCTCGCCGGCCCTCCCATTTTCGGCTGGCTGGGGCCACTGCTGGGCCCCCTCGGACCCCCGGCCGGCTCCAAGGTGCACGAAGCGCGCTTCTCCTCGCGCGCGTGCCCTGGGGTGACCTGGGCCTCGCTGCCTCTTCCGGCCCCGCCCTCGAGTAGGAGATCGACTGCAGAATCGACGTACCCCGAAATTGCTTCTGCGTCGAATCTGCGAGACCGTCTCGTAGATTCGGCGCATGTCTCGTCGAGACATGCGTAGACTGCTCCGTAAATGTACGGCACGTCCTGCGCATTCTTGGCAGGCTCGACGCACAAACTAGGTGTGGGGCAAATCGACTCTGCAGCCGATCTACTACTCCACTCCTCGTGGCCGAAGCGGGATGGCACCCCCCGAGGCGTCTCCCGGCACGGGCACGGGCGCCAGGCGCTGCGGCCAGGGGAGGGGCGCCTGCCACTGCTCGAGCACAGGAGACCGAGGAGGAGGTGATCGACGTGCCCCTGCCCCTGGAAAGACCGGCGCAGGGCCACGGCCTCCACACAGAGCCACTGCTCCCTGGCCAGGCCCCTCCGGAACCCAGCAGCGGTGCACGCGCCGCGCCCTCCTGGCCTGGCCAGGTGGGGGCGCATGCGCACGCCTGGGCCCAGGAAGGGCCCGGGCAGGGGGCAGTGGACGTGTGCATGGATGCCGTCGCCCGCCGGCAGGAGGCAGGGAGGCCCCGCAGGGCGCCCGAGGGGCGCCGCGAGGAGCGGCGCGCCGCGTGCAGCCCGGGGCCCCCCCGCGCCGAGAGCACCCACGGCCGCCGCGCGCCCCGGCGCCCGCCGTGGGCCGCCGCCTCCGGCGCAGGCCCCGCGGTGGCGGAGGCGGCGTCCCCAGGGGGCCGCTCGTCGCCATTTATCTATAACCTTTTCTTCGTCTGCTTCCTTTGCTTCTGCTGATGCTTCCTTTGCCTCGCTTGCTCTTGCGGATGCTCCTGCGGATGCCTCCCTTGCCTTTGGCCGATGCCATTATTTGTCTTCGTCTGCTTCCTTTGCTTCTGCTGATGCTTGCGCGTGCTGCTTGGCTTCGCCTTCGCGCTCTTCTTATTTTCATCGTATGTTGTTTAATTAGTGCTGGTGTTGCCATTCTCATGGTCAGTCCGATCCTCCTTCGTATTCCCCACCGGTCTCTTCCCATCATTGGTAAGATCTTCTTCTTGGTCGTATCATTGTGTCAAAGTAGATGTCTTGTTCTTAGTATCCGTAGTATGCTTCGTCTTCTGATGGTTCTTATGCCTCGGCTCATCCTTCCTATTCGTCTTCTGTCGGTGTAGATGTAGATGTAGATGTGAATGTAGCTGTCGATGTAGATGTAGATGTAGATGTTGTTTTCCTAAATGCTCCAACTCCTAGGTAGGGTCGCACTGGGATAATGTTTCTTATGCCTCGGCTGCTGCTTCCTATTCGTCCTCTTCGCCTTCTCTCTCGGGGAGAACGGGCGGGCACGGCACGACGACGCGCTCGGCGGCGCGGCTCGTGGAGCCGCCGAGCTGCCCCCGAAGAACTGCGCCAACGAGCGGGGCGGAAGCGCCCAGCCAGGCCGAGGGGCTGCCGGCGGTGACGAGAAGGGCGAATAGCCCAGGGGCGGGTATTACACGCATTCGCCGGGGAGCCTCGCCGAATACATGGATCATCGGCGCCCCTCGATGCATGTATTGCTCCCCCCCGGGGGCTATTCACCCCTTCGTCGCCCCCAGGGCTGTCCTGCGAGCGCCCGTCGTGATGGTTTCGCGATGCCCGGCGTCCTGGGTCATGCCCTGCCTGGTGGCGGGATGTGTTATCCATATCCGCTGCTTCCCCGGAAACCAGAGGAGTGGTGGATCTGCAAAAGAAGATCATGTCCCCTAGATGTTGGATTGATATAATTACCTATCCACTGCGCCTCGGCCTTTGGCGTCCCTTCCCAGAAAGTCCAAAACGCAGTGGACATTGATATGAAGATTGCCCGCCCCGCCCGACCCCCCCCCCCCCCGAGTGGCCGAAATTTGAGGAGCACACACAAGGAGGAGAAGGAGGATGAGGAGAAGGAGGAGGAGGAGCAGGAGGAGGAGGAGGAGGAGGAGGGGGAGGAGGAGGAGGAGGAGGAGGAGGAGGAAGGAGGAGGAGCAGGAGGAGCAGGAGGAGGAGGAGGAAAAGGAGGAGGAGAATGAGGAGGACGAGGAGGAGTATCCTTCAGGGCTCCCCCAAACCTCCCTGAAATACCCAAGGTCGCCCAAACACCCAGGCGATCCTCGGGCTGGGAGCAAACGCTGCGAGCAAAAACCGCAACAGCGCGAAAGGTCACGACTGGAAACCCAGACCCCATCTTTCTGCGGTAGCTCTCGAGCTGGACAAGTCAGTGATGGCCCCAGGGTCCGAAAACAAGCGAAGACGCCCGGTGCGAACAAAAACTACAACACCTTGAATCATGGACTCAGGGTAGGCCCGCGAAGGTCTGACCCCCTTCCCCCCAAGAACGGTCTTCATCCCGAGCCATTGTCTGACGGTCCCGGAGCCCAGCGAGGGCCCCCGGAGGCCATACACTGTCAAAAAGCTGTCCTCATGTTTTGTTCACAACGTGAGGAGCCTGGGTGTGTGGGGCTGTGGGCATGCGATGCTCTGGCGGCGACCCTGGAACACGACGTGGCTAGTGAGGTGCTTGGCGAGCCAGGTCCCGCAAAGGAAGGCCTCTTAAATCGACTACGATCAAGCCTGCGACTGCTGACCTCCTCTGGCTGACCCGCAAGGCGGCCCTTCCCCGGGGGGAACTCTGCGGCAGGCGTCGCCGCCGTGGGCTCGGTCACCTCGCCGGGCCACGCCGGGAGCACGGGGGGGGAGGAGGAGGGGGGGAGGAGGAGGAGGAGGAGGAGGAGGAGGAGGAGGAGGAGGAGGAGGAGGAGAGAGGAGGAGGAGGAGGAGGAGGAGAGGGGAGGAGGAGGAGGAGCAGGAGGAGGAGGAGGAGGAGAGGGGAGGAGGAGGGAGGAGCAGGAGGAGGAAGGAGGAGGAGGGAGGAGGAGGAGGGAGGAGGAGGAGGAGGAGGAGGAGGAGGAGGAGGAGGAGGAGGAGGAGAAGGGGGGGGCGGCCGCCACGAGGTCAGCTGCGGGGGCGAGGAGCAGGAGGAGGAGGAGGGGGGGTGCGGAGGAGGAGCAGGAGGAGGACCACTGCAAGCCCAAGAGGCATCAACGATGTTGCAATAAACCCTCCCTCCAAGTTCCCTCATTCCGGGACATGGCCCATTATAGGACTACCGCGCTTGAGAACCCTCAACCGTGCCCGAAGAAATCCTTCATGGAATTTCAACGCTGCGGTGCAACATGACGGTTGCGCCCTGACAGTCCTCGGTCGTGTCAGCACGCCGTTCCTGGGATTCCACACCACGACTCAACGTGACTGTTGCACCCTGGCAGTCCGAAATCGCACCAGAAGGCCGTTCCTGGGACATCGACCACACGAACCCTTGAAACGGTTGCAAGCTTTCATAGGACTGTGCGCGGCGCTGAAGCGAGGGCCACATGATAAAAAGGAACCGCTCTACATCCTTGAAGCTGCTGCAAACTTTTACGGCGAATGTGCGCGGCGCTGAAGTGAGAACCGCATTTTGAAAACCACACGCCCTCCATCCGTGAAACTGCTGCAAAGTGTTAAAACGAATGTGCGCGGCGCTAAGACGAGAGCAACATTTGAAAAAAAACACCCGCCCTCCATCAACGAAACTGTTCCAAAGTAATTACGCGGCGCCGAGGCGAGAAGCATGTCGTGAAGCTGCTGCAAATCTCAAACTTCAGGATCATACGCGGACGGGAGATCTCAGCCGAAACGCCAGGCCCGCCCTACGGGCACATCCGGGGGCGCGACAGGGAAGAGTTATCCAAAAAAACAAGGAGTGGAGGCCAGCTCCGCGGGCGAGCAGCAGGAAGAGGAGGGTGGAGCAGGAGGACGAGGGGGCAGGTGGAGGACGGAGCCAGTACCCCGAGGACGCAGGAGAAGGATGAGGCGGAGGAGGAGGAGGAGGAGGAGGAGGAGGAGGAGGAGGGACGGGGCGAAGGGGGAGCAGGAAGAGGGAGCAGGCGGCCAGGGAGCACGTGCGAGACGACGTTGATCATCAAGGCGGCGCCCACTCGGAGGCTGGTGTCGTCCGGCAGGGGGAGGCCCATCACGGCCCTCACGTGCGCCTGGGCAAAGGGGGGGGGACGGAAGGAGGGCGGCCGGGGCAGCTCGGGCCGGTCCGCGACTGCCTGCGCGGTTGCCTGCCTCCGCCGCCGCCGTGCCTCCCCGCAGGGGCTCCCCCTCCCCCCTGAAGCGGGCGCTCTCTCGACCGCCAGGCCTGTACCTCGGCGGCGCGCCCGGGGGGGAAGTTCCAGGAGCTTCGGGTTCGGGGTTCGAGGGTTTCTGGGCGTCGTCGTCGGTTCTCGGCGGGCGCTCCGGCAGCTGCGCCTCGCCGAGAGCGCTCCGGGAGGGCCTGGGCCTCTCCGGACGGCCGCCAGAGACCCGAGGTATGACCCAGAAGCCAAACTCGGCGGCGCGCCCTGGGGGGGAAGCAAGAGGAGGAGGAGGAGGAGGAGGAGGAGGAGGAGGAGGAGGAGGAGGAGGAGGAGGAGGAGGAGGAGGAGGAGGAGGAGGAGGAGGAGGAGGGAGGGGGCCTCCTCAGAAGGCTCGGAGGGCCTTCGTTCTGCTGAGACGCTTTCTAAGCCTGCCGCCGATGTATCGGGCACGCGCGAGGCGTGGACTGCGGACCCGTGGATCTGGCGCGCGGGCGCCAGATCCACGGATCGGGGACAGCGCCCCTCGACACCTGCCGCGTCGCATGCAGCCACTGCCGCGCGACTTGGCGATGGAGCGCGTCGATGTTCGGTGCAGCGGTGCCCGTCGCTGGTCCGCGCGCCCCGAGTCCGTGCTTGCCCCACCTCGAGCAGTGCAGGTGGAGAGCCGTCGGCCCTGCCGGGCTCGGGCATGCTCCAAGGGACTGCCGAGAGGAGAGGGCGCGATCACGCGAGAGAGGGGCGGGCGGGCCAGGCGGGCCAGCAGGCCCGCCCAACGCTCGTCCCTCTCCTGCTCCTTCACCTCCACCTCATCCTGCTTCTGCTGCTACTGCTGCTGCTCCTCCTCCTCCTCCTCCTCCTCCTCGTCCTCCTCCTCCACCTCCTCCGCCTGATTAGCCTCATCATCCTCTAGATTGTGCTTCCTCTTCCTCGTGATCATGCGGATCCTTTCCTACAGTTCCTGCTCCTCTGTATGTTCCTCTTGCTGCAAACTATGCTTCTCTCTGTCCCCTTCATCATCATCATCATCATCATCATCATCATCATCATCATCATCATCATCATCATCATCATCATCATCATCATCATCATCATCATCATGTCAGCAGCAGCAGCAGCAGCATCATCAGCATCATCAGTAGCAGCATCACCATCCTCTTGCTCATGGGAGAGAGGCGGGACAGACGAGGGCGAGGAGGCAGGACGGCGGCGGAGGGAGGATGGAAGAGAGGGCAGGGAAGCATGAGGAGAGGGAGGAGTGAGGAGGGGAGTCGGAGGGAGCGGGGCAAGAGGGGGCGTGGAGGAGGGAGGAGAGCTATCCCTTTCGCGTGCTCGTGTTTTCCTCTCGTCTCTCTCTCCTCTCCCCTCCTCTCTCTCTCTCTCTCTCCCCTCCCTCCCTCTCTCTTTCCTCTCTCTCTCTGTCTCTCTGGCTCTGTCTCTCTCTCTCTCTCACCTTCCTGGCCCCCCCACGCCAACCAACCGTGAGCCTCGAACTGATCGCAGCCACAAGCCTCCATGGTGTAATGGCCGGAGTTGTGCGGGCGTGGCGCCACCTCGTTCAGGGTGACGGACCCGTCCTTGGGCGGTCGTGGCACAGCCTCTTTGTGCACAGGCGACGCAACCCTCCTTCTCTTCCTGTTCCTCGCCTTGCTCCTCCTCCTCCTCCTCCTCCTCCTCCTCCTCCTCCTCCTCCTCCTAGGCCCCCTTCCCCTACCATGTATCCTCCTCTCTCTCCTTCGCTCATCCTCTTCATCCTCCCCCTTCTCATATAAATGTGCGATGACGTGACATGTGAAGAGCGGTTGTACTGGCCTGCTAGCAACGCCAAGGCTACTTGAGTCACACTACACCAAGCAGCACCCATCCAAAATGCCCGGCTTTATCGAGCGCCTTTGAACCATATGAACTAGCTTGGTCAACATACCACCCAAGCATGCACGCCAAATGCGAGGAGATCTCCCCCCCCACGATGACTGCAGCTGGGCATCGATGCACGAAGGTGTTGCTGGGCAGATTGCGCCTTGCCTGGGTCCTTGTGACTGCGCACAGTATATGGATCAATCGCACGGGGCTCATAGCCATCGACCTTACGATCCTTTGATCTATGTTGCGGTTCACCAGGTGGCCAGATAATGACCATGTTCAAGCTGAGCGGACGCGCTGCACAATGCTCGCCACCAGCTGGCTTGGTTTTCAACCGACCCCCCCCCCAAAAAAAAATTTGCGCAAAGACATCCAACCCATGGGTAGCAAGCGGACGTCAATGTGCATTCGGCGAGGTCATGCCGCTGGCAACTCCTGCGAGGGGCTCGCAGAACGTGAGGAAAGAGAAGTGCCGCTCTGGCCCCTTGCTGCTTTCTCGCTCAAGCGCCTTCGCCATGCTTGGTCGGCAAATCGAAGACCTGCCGTTGCACAAGCAATCGGACGGGGCGGCGCTCTCCCTGGCCACATAGAACCACTGGATCCTCCGCGATGCTCGCAGACGCAGTATGTACCGCGCCAGCCTGCCCCTGCCGCGGTCCGCGTTTCACGTCGAAAACCCTTCTCAGGAGGTGATTCCATCTTCTCTCATCAAAATTGGAACGGGATAAATCGGTGCTCCCTGGGATCCAGCGGTTCTGGAAGATGTGTCGGGCGCCGCGCCCGTTCAAGAGCGTTCCAGAACGCTCTGAAAGCGTTGCAGAAAGCTATTGAACGATTTGTTTTAGTCATAAGCCCGCCCGGTCAACTCTCGGCGGAGGCCCGGCGTTGGCTATGGCCGAGGGCCAAATTGCGGAGAAACATTCTGGCCCCGCATGTGTCCACTGAGGTCTGTCGCTCAGGCAGCCCTGGTGGGCGCGGTGGCAAGCGCAGGCTCCCTGCCATCTCGAGCTGCCCGTACCCTGGCTGCCGCCTCCTTCATCTTCATCCTCGTCGTTCTCGCCCATCCTCTTTATCCAGCCTTCCCCCGCCTTCTCTCCTCCTCCTCCTCCTCCTCCTCCTCCTCCTCCTCCCCTTTCTTCGTCGCCTCCTCCTGCTCCTGCTCCTCCTCCTCCTCCTCCTCCTCCTCCTCCTCCTCCTCATCATCATCATCATCATCATCACCATCACCATCATCATCACCATCACCATCACCATCACCGTCACCATCACCATCATCATCACCAACATCACCATCATCACCATCATCACCATGATCATCACCATCATCATCACCACCATCATCGTCATCGTCATCGTCATCGTCATCGTCATCATCATCCGCAGCAGCATCATCATCATCAGCATCATCATCGCATCATCATCATCATCATCATCATCATCATCATCATCATCATCATCAGCATCAGCATCAGCATCAACATCAGCATCAGCATCAGCATCATCAGCATCATCATCAGCATCATCATCATCATCATCATCATCATCATCATCATCATCATCATCATCATCATCATCATCATCATCATCATCATCATCATCGTCAGCATCGTCAGCATCGTCATCATCAGCATCATCATCATCATCATCATCATCATCATCATCATCATCATCATCATCATCATCATCATCATCATCCCCCTTCTCCTCCTCATGCTCTTCCTCTTCCTCCTCCTCTTCCTCCTCCTCTTCCTCCTCCTCCTCCCCTGGAGTCCTACGAAGCCTTCTCCTCCGTCTGCTCCAGATGCTGCTGCTGCTCCTGCTCCTTGCCCCCCCGTCCGCCCCCCCCCCCCCCCTGGCGGGGTCGCGCCGAGAACAGGAAGAGCTCCACGCCGAAGATGCCCGACGCCCCGGCGCCCAGGCTCCGGATTGCCTGCGTGGCCACCTCGCGCACGGCATCCTGGGGCCGCCCCCCCCTTCGACGACGACGACGCGGACGCCGACGCCGCCGTCGCCGGCGGCGAGGACGCCGTCGCCAACGACAGCGCCGACAACGTCGGCAACGACGCCGACGGCGCCGCCGTCGACGGCGGCGGTGGCGACGGCGTGCCAGCGCTGGCGAGGACCCGGAGCAGCACCGACGCGAAGCATCCAGCCCCAGCGTGTGGCCTACGGATGCCCGTCCGTCTTCACCTCCCGTCCTCCCCCCTTCCCCCATCACTTGGGCGCCCGAGTTATCTGGGGTAACTCGGGTCCGGGGTAACTCGGGTTTGGATTCCCGAAAAAGGAACCCGAATTAGCCCTGACCCGAGTTACCCCTGATGATTCGGGGCTCTGGACGCCCGAGTTATCCGGGGTAACTCGGGTCCGGGGTAACTCGGGTTTGGATTTCCGAAAAACGAACCGGAGTTATCCCTGACCCGAGTTACCCCTGATGATTCGGGGCTCTGAGTCACCCTCCTGCCACTGCGCGGCTCACTCTCCGGAACAATGACGCACACAAGGTTCAGCAGCAAAAACGACCTTCCGCGTCAAAGGCGCGGGGGCCAGGGGCGAAGGCCAGGGTGAGATGGGGCAAGGCGCCCCCCTCCGAGGATCCTCTGACATCGAGACGAGATGCCCACGATTACGACGGGCAGGTGGGCGAGGCCGCCGCGAACGAGGGTCGAAGGCCCTCTTGCAGGTGGGGCGCGAGCCTCGCCCGCGCTCCGCCTCGAGAGGCCCCCCCCCCTGTGCCTGGAGCCTCGCTCGACTCGGGGTGCCCCCCCGGAGGGCGAGGACCTGCCGCACTCAGCCGAATGGCCGTGTGGCGCGCAGGCTTCGATCCCGCAGCCGGCGCACGGCCTCGGATCGGCGCGGCCCCGAGACGTCCACGCGAACGTGCCCGCTTCAGACTTCGTGGATCGGCAGCGCCAGCCGGCGCGGGCGCGGGTGTCGCTTGCGGCAGGGCGTGCCGGGAGCGGGCGCTGGAGCGGGCGCACAAGAGGACGGCGGCCGCGGTGGAGGAGGAGGAGGAGGAGGAGGAGGAGGAGGAGGAGGAGGACGACGAGGAGGAGGAGGAAGAGGAGGAGGAAGAGGAGGAGGAGGAGGGGGAGGGAAGGGCCCAACCGCCGAGAGTCGGCGCGTGAGCGACGCGCAGACGGCCTCAGGCACCGAGGATGATGTGCAACAGGAGTCGGAGCTGGACGGCACGCGGAGCAGGCCGTCGAAGCGGGCAGCCTGCTTCAGACTTATGTCGGGCCTGTCCCCCCACAGGGGGATTTTCGACGAAAAATATAAAATACCCAAGAAATGTTCCAAAAAGGTCAGAAAATGCTCAAAACTAGTTCCCTGACTATTTTTGGGCTATTTTTGGATTATTTTTGGGGGTATTTTTCATTTTTCGTGGAAAATCCCCCGGTAGGGGGACAGGCCCGACTTAACTTCAGACACGTGAGCGGCGGAGAAAAGCGGGACGCAGGCGAGAAGGCATGGCGACCTCACGCCGCGGCTTACGCGGGCCCCCAGCTTGGCGCCCCGCGTGGAGAATAGGGCGCTTACGCGCGACGTGACGCGGGAAGCTTACGCGCTCGCGTCCGCGCGGTCGACCCCGGTGTTCTTCCGTCGCTCGTGTGAGATAAGCAGGCAGACAAGACTGCACAAGCATCAACTTTCGTCAGCACGGATTTCGTGGATCGGCGCTGGACAAGGTCGGCGCTGGCGCGGATAAGACTGCAGACAAGGTCAGCGCCGATTTCGTGGATCGGCGCTGGACACTCCTCCGGAATTCCGAAACTCACTCCCGCCAGCCCTTCAGGGCGTCGGTGGTTCGGGGTGCTTCCTCTTCCAATCTGTTTCTTCCACTTCGGGGAGGAGTTGACCACTAATCCGTATTACTGAGCACTCCCTCCCCAATCCGACCGGCGACAAACCCAGGACCACGAGAACCCTTCCCCCACCATGCCTGGCAAAAAAAACAAGACAAAGCAGAACGACAACAAAGACACGACATAAACTCTTTCGTTTTTTGTTGCACAGCGTGGTCCCCCCCCTCTCGGGACCCACCGATTCCAACATGGGTGGAGGGCTCGCCTCGGGGCCAGCGGCCACGTCGGTCGGTCAGTGCCGCGGATGGCCCCTTTGGGGAAGTGTTCTGCAAGTCCGTGGGCGGTGCCGAAATCTATTTCGCCACCTCCCGACCAGTGGGCCCCGGGCGCTCTCGCGACGGCCGCCAGGGGCTCGTGCGCCCGGCTCGGCGTCCACGTAGGGCCCACCCCCCCAAATGCTCCATGCCCCTCGAACGCACAAGGGGTCGAAGAAGCATCCTGGGCCCAGTGGGGGGGGGGGGCCCGAGGAAGTTCACATACCCCGAGAGGAGACGCACCCAGACATGCGACGTCCTGATTTTTTCAGGACGGCGTCCCCGGAAGTCCAGACCCTTTCCCTGGGGCCGGTTTGTCATCCTGAGTCGTTTTTTGACGGTCCCGAGGCCCGGCGAGGGCCTCTAGAGGCCGAAAATCATGAAAAACCTCCGTCCTGAATTTTTTACGACGCGATCACATCTGGGCAGCACTCGCGCAGAGAGCCTCCGCGCAAGGACTTCTCGGGGCACGGACAGGCCCAGAGGGCCCCCCTGCCCGAGCGGGCCCCTCGGGGGTCGCTCGGGCGATGCTCTGGGCAGGGCGCTCGCGCGCCTGCCCAACGCCCGCGGCCTGCCTGGCCCAAGGTGGCCAAAGGCCAGTGCCGCCTGGCGCCGCGCGGGTGCCGCGCGGGCCGGGGGCGAGTTCTCCTCCTCCTCCTCCTCCTCCTCCTCCTCCTCCTCCGTCCTCCTCCTCCTCCTCCTCCTCCTCCGTTCTCCTCCTCCTCCTCCGTCCTCCTCCTCCTCCTCCTCCTCCTCCTCCTCTTCCTCCTCCTCTTCCTCCTCCTTCCTCCTCCTCCTCCTCTTCCTCCTCCTCCTCCTCCTCCTCCTCCTCCTCCGGGCGGACGCTGAAATGGCCGACGTGCGACGCAACACCCAGTGGGATGACTTGTCTCGAACGGGGCGTGGCAGCAACAGCAAAGGGAACAAGTAGTTGAGATCGATTTGGGGTCCCTTGGAATTCAAGGTGCCCTTCGCATTCGCATCTGCATCACGCGCGGACTTCCCGCGATCATTTCGCACTGGTGTTTGATAGGGACGGCGGTGGGCAGCATTATCGCCTGCGGCGTGAAATGCCAAACCCCAAAACCATTCCTGGCACAAGAACAAAATGTTAGCCAGCGTGACCCCAAACAGAGTGTTGCTAGCCGTTTATAGCAGTATATGTTGTGCAATCTATGTGGGGCAGTTCATGTGGTGAATTGCATGCTGTGCCATATAGGTGCAAAACATGTGGTGCAATACAGGTGCAGTCTACGTGGTACAACATATGTAGTGCCATCTATGCGGTGCAATCGACGTGACGCAATCTATGTGGCGCAGCATATGAAGTGTATCATATGTTGTGCAATCCATCTTGTGAAATACGAACTATGCATTTCTTGTGGAGCAACTTGTGTGGCACAATAGATGTGGCACAATCTAGGCGGCGACGGGGCGGCGACGGCGACCACGGAGCCGCAATATGTTGTGCAATCCATGCGCAACATAGGTGGTGCAATACATGTTGTGCAATACATGTTGTGCAATACGTCTGGTGCGCAATCAACGCGGTGCGCAATCTAGATGGTGCGCAACCGACGTGGTGCAATGTATGTGGTGTAGCCTATGAGGTACAGTAAATTTCTGTTCGGAATGAATTGTCCACTCCACTGCTCGCGCAAACATCCCACCCACCCACCCGCAACTTGGTTTGCAAAATCTCTTAAGACCGTGACGGTGGGTACCAAATGGCACTTCGGAACGACAGCGACGCCGACGACGACAGCGACAACGACGACGATGACGCCGCCGACAACGACTACGACGACACCGACGACGTCTCCAACGACTTCGACGACGCCGACAACGACGACGACACCGACGACGACGACGCCGACGCCGACGACGACGACGATGACAACGACGACGACGACGATGACGACGCCGACGACGACGACAACGACGACACCGACGACGACGACGACGTCAACGACGCCGACGACGACGACGACAACGACGGCGGCGACGACGACGCCGACGTCGACGACGGCGAAGACGACGACGACGCCGACGCCGACGACGACGACGAAGACTACGACGACGTCGCCAACGAAGACGACGACGAGGGAGGAGGGAGGACGACGACGGCGACAACGACGACAACGACGAGGGAGGAGGGAGGACGGCGACGACGCGAACGACGAAGAAGGAGGAAGGACGGCGACGCCGACGACGACAACGAGGGAGTAGGGAAGACGACGACGACGACGACAACGACGACGACGACGACGGCGACGAAATAGGAGGGACAGCGACGAGACGCCGACGACGGACGACGACGGACGACGACGACGACGACGAGGGAGGAAGAGGAAGGACGACCACTGCGACAACGACGACGGAAACGACCACGACGTCAAAAAGGACGACGACGACGAACACGAGGAAAGACAGAGGACGACGTAGGCGGCGACGACGACGACGACGACGACGACACGGGAGGAAGGAGGACGGCGACGACGACGACGACGCAAAAGCGCGCGCACGCTTTTGTTGAAATTCCGTGTTGCGAAACCTTGTTTTTGTAGGTTTTTTGGACACACGATGTTGAAATCCTCGGCATGCGCGCGCGACGACGCGCGCGTCTGCACTTCGTCCCGTTTGTTGCAGAGGATTCTCGCGACGGCACACGCGCAAAGGCGTTCGACAGATTTCGACATGCGCGCGCGCGAAGCCCGTTTTGTAGCATTTTGTGAAAATCTTGAAAAACCTATGGTTTTCGCACGGTTTCGCAAGAGCTCGCGCGTAAGTTTGTTTAGCAAATCAGTGTTGCGAAACCCTGCGGTTTCGTAGTATGTTGT